TAGTTATATATATGTATATATATAAATAATAATAATAATAATAATAATAATAATAATAATAAATAATAATAATGCTGTAAAGGCAAATATACAACATGGTATGCCCTAAATAACAATTAAAATGGTATCAGATGCCCGCAAGACGGAAACAAATTGGCCGTAGATCGGGAGTTCTAAATGTGGAATTGTGGATTTTCTCCCCAAGAGATGGGTGTTCTCCCTGTACCCTTCCACTGCACTGGCTCCACCCCTGCTTCAAGAATTGCCTTTTTCCAACTTGGGACCCCTGCAAATGTGTATCTTTGTTGTAATATAAATGCTAAGTTATTATTATTTATTTGAGGTATATTTATTAAAAATTCAACATCAAAAACATACATAGCAGCAACAAAGGCTGAATTGCGTATGTATTAAGAAGTAAGTATAAAATATATATTATATAATATTAAAAAGGTAGACAAAATAAAAAGACAACAAAATAAATACCAATATCAAAATACGAGATAACCACGGAAGGAGCATTTGTAAAACGACCGGACAGTAAAGGAAGGGGAAAATAAATCAATCAACTGGAGGGGGAAAATTTGGAGTTTAACTTTTATTTATTATGTAAGCCAAAAATGGGATCGGACTTGTTTGGAATCGTTCGGTTACCGGTAATTAATTAATTAATTAATTACGTTTCTTTTATTTAAAAAATCCTGCTTCTTCATATCCAGATTAAAGAAGAGTCCCCCCTATAGTTATTTTTGTTTTCAATACTAGGTCTATAGTGATAATCTTAAATTTCTATTTGCCCTAATATACCACCAAAATCATGTGGAAAAAACTTTCCCTTTCCCTTTCAAACTGAGGGACAAGAAAATGTAGATCCAGGTCTTCTAATACTGTTTTGATTGATCGAGACATTTTTGTTTTCGTTAGTTATTATTATTTTATCACTAAGATAATCACATGTCGAATATGCTTTGTTACGCGCGATTTTCCCCTAGGCTCATTCCCACAGCCGTTGATTTTTTCCCCTTGACCCGATGTCAAAGGTCATGAAAGCACCGAATGATAAAAGAACCGTACGTAATGGTGAAAGGGCCGAAAGGTAAAAGCACCAAATGATAAAAGAGCCGAAGTGCGGCAAAAGCACCGAACGTAATGTTAAAAGCACCGAACGTAATGTTAAAAGCACCGAACGTAATGTTCAAAGCACCGAACGTAATGTAAAAGCACCGAACGTAATGTTAAAAGCACCTAACGTAATGTAAAAAGCACCGAACGTAATGTAAAAAGCACCGAACGTAATGTAAAAGCACCGAACGTAATGTAAAAGCACCGAACGTAATGTTAAAAGGGCCGAATAGCAAATGCGCCGAACGGAAAAGAGCCACCAAAGGCAGTAACGGCGTTCCATAGCTGCCTACGTTAGGCACGATTTCCGCCTCATTTTTACAATGCGAGTGCTCTGTCTTGTATTTCTAGTATCTTTGAGTTGAGTAGTTAGTAACGAGAGGAACTACTGTCACCAGTGTGCGATATGCGAAGTACAAAAAACCCATAGAGATATAATAAGAATAATGTTTAATAGCTCTAAGACAAAGATATTATTAGATCTTTGCTCTATGACGAAAACAAAGATCTTATAAACACAAGATAGCGTTCTCCGCGATTTACGCGTAACAAATAGAAGCGTCGATTTGGCCGGCCCAGAAAAGTAATCAGTTTTGGGAGAGGGCGTCCTAGTCGTTGCCATGGATCTGATATAGGGTGTTCGCGTTACGCCAAAGTTCGTTACCCAGTACGTTAATTTGTTCCTTAAGTTCAAAGATCTTATAAACAAAAGATAGCGTTCTCCGCGATTTACGCGTAACAAATAAAGGCACAGAAAAGTAATCAGTTTTGGGAGAGGGCGTCCTAGTCGTTGCCATGGATCTGAGATAGGGTGTCGCGTTAGGCCATAAGTTCGTTACCAAGTACGTTCATTTGTTCTTTATGTTCTAAAGAGAGGGCACATTGTAAATCGGACGCTTCTAATTGTTACGCGTAAACGTAAAGTCGCACGGCGTACGCTATGGTCCGAGCGGTCAAGGTTCAAAAGTTTTCAATTTTGCAAGAGGGCGCTTTTCATGCATTATTACAGAATTTGCACGCGTAAATCGCGGAGAATTCTATATTGTGTTTATAAGATATTTGCTTATGTTATAATCTCATTAGAGAGGGCGTACTTTATTCACTCTCTAAAAGTATACACGCAAGAGAGATCATTCCAGCGAATGCGATCTACAACCTCTGAATTTGCCTAGTAACGAAAATTTGTCAAGAAATGGGAATTTCCTATGAGAAATAGTCTGTATTTCTCTTTTTTTTTTTTTATTCTTTTGCGTAAAACTAAAATTTGTACCAATATTTTTCCATGATTTATAATAATTAGAGTAATGCATATGCATTTTTTTCTATAAAAAAAAATCTGTTTTTTAGTGAAATTTTGCCGAGAATGATGGGGATTTACGGATATTGCCCTCTTATTTGTAATTCTGTATCGTTCGCAAGTCGGGTATGGAAATTAAATAGTGCACTTTATTGGAACATCTATACCAAAGTTCTGAGGTGGGGTTCGTCGGGTATGGAAATTAAGAGGTGCACTTTATTGGAACATCTATATCAAACTAATGAGGGCGGGGGCGGTTAGGGGGTTATTCATCCCCATTTCTCACACTTCAATTGCACTGTTCTTTTATTACTGTTGCAAGTCAGATGGACTGATTTTTTTTATGTATACATTTTGTATTAGGTCTGTGTGTATATATTTTAAGCACATAAATTTATAATATCTTTTCATCTGTTTACGTTTTTCACATTAAAAATGTTATTGTTTTAATTTGGATTTTAAAATGTAAGAGCTACCTTGTCTAAGGATGGTAGAAATTGGGATTGAGTTTTTATTTGGCATTGTGTTGGTTAAATGC